TCCCCACTCATTCAGAGTAACAGCTTGTAATCTTCTTCTCTAGATACTATATAAGAGATACTACTTAATATTTCAGAGTACCAGCTTGTAATCTTCTTCTCTAGATACTATATAAGAGATACTACTTAATATTTCAGAGTACCAGCTTGTAATCTTCTTTAATTATGAAAGATACTACTTAATATTTCAGAGTACCAGCTTGTAATCTTCTTTAGTTATGAAAGATACTACTTAATATTTCAGAGTACCAGCTTTTAATTTTCTTCTCTAGTTATAAGAGATACTACTTAATATTTTAGAGTACCAGCTGTATTACCACTGGAAATACATTTAAGAAATAAATATTGAAATGAATATAAGATGGGTTTAAAACTTATTACACATATTAAATTAAACTTCTGGGACATATGCTTAAATGGTTCTCTGTGTTTTGATGTACACCGATGATGATGTCCTAGTGCACATTAGATGATGATGATGATGTCCTAGTGCACATTAAAACACACAGAACCATCTGTTTAAGAGTAAATTCCTTTATGAAAAGAAAAATCATTCTACACAATCTAAATCACTATATTTGTTATTTTTAATATAACAATTTGTTTTTTCATATCAAGTAATTTGTAGAAATTATGACAAATTAGGGTGTTCTCTATGTTTGACTTCATATATATATAAGAAAGAATGAGTCTGGAAAATGGTTTCTCGATTGGGAAAAGATAGTAGATTCTCTTCATCTAAAGGTTTAGAAATGTTATACAATTAAATATTGATAAAAGGTTAAAATAATGGGAGAGTGCAAAAATATAATGGTGAAAAAATATTAATGCTAACCCTACTTTTCAAACCCAAAGGTGCTAGCAAAAATGATCTTTATTTACGTATTAGTGTGTATGTATCTTTATTTACGTATTAGTGTGCATGTATTTTTATTTACGTAGGAGTGTGTATGTATCTTTATTTACATAGGAGTGTGTAAGTATCTTTATTTACATAGGAGTGTGTATGTATCTTTATTTACATAGGTGTGTAAATAAAGATACATACACACTCCTACGTAAATAAAGATACATACACACAATAGGTGTGTGTGTATGTATCTTTATTTACGTAGGAGTGTGTATGTATCTTTATTTACATAGGAGTGTGTATGTATCTTTATTTACATAGGAGTGTGTATGTATCTTTATTTACATAGGAGTGTGTATGTATCTTTATTTACATAGGTGTGTGTATGTATCTTTATTTACATAGGTGTGTGTATGTATCTTTATTTACATAGGAGTGTGTATGTATCTTTATTTATGTAGGAGTGTGTATGTATGTATCTTTATTTACATAGGTGTGTGTATGTATCCTTATTTACATAGGAGTGTG